CGACCCACTGAATGTCACACAGTTGCCAGGCAGCAGAGCGAGAAGATGTGCTTCTGTGTGACCCAGCCCTGATTTACCGAACTAGTTGTTCGAGACACCTGTTCCAGGCTTGGCCACATGCGAGGGCTGAAGACCCAGAGACACAGGAGGACAAAGCCCTCAAGGTTTTTCAAGGGGAAACAGACCAGTGACTGCTGGGCTCCAGCCCGGTACAGACTGTAGCCCTGCGGTACCAAGCCTGCTCTACTCCCCACCCCCAGCCCTGCTGCTGCTCAGGGCCGCAGAACCCCAGACCAGACATGCTTCCTGAGGCTGCTGTTTTCCTTGGCCCCTGAGATGGGAGACAGTGTGCCCAACATGGTGGAAAACAAGACATGGAGTGGGGGAGGCAAGTTGAGAACACCCGTTGCTCCCACCCCTGTAACCTGTCGCTAGGTGGTGGAAACAGAGAGCAGAGGGGCTACCTTTCCATCCATCCACCAGCCCATCCAAGCCATTGTTCCCTTGTTGTGACAGAGGGTTTGTCTGAGGCCCATGGACAGGACTGAGGGCTTCCTCCCCGGCGCTCCCTGCTTGGACAGCTGGAGGAAACAGGCGGCTACTGAGCCAGCTCGCCATTCCAACAATAACAGGCTGCCTGCCCCACTGATAGGCCTGGGGGGGGGGGGTGGTGATCCTGGAGCCAGAGAGGCCACCCCACTCCACCCTGCCACTGAAAAAACATGTTTTCTTGTTTTCTGAGGGGGCAGGGGGTAGCTGGTACCCATCCTGAGCAAATATGGTGCTGATAAGCTCGAAGGACCAGGCTGGCAGGCTAGCAGCTAGGGCTGCATTCCCGGGCAGAGCCAGGTTGACCCTGGGGGTCATTCAGACCAGCCTGCCAGGTCTGGAAGTCTGGGCAATGTAACAAGAGAGTCCCTGACCACGAAACACAAGTTCTCCTTCACTGGGAAGGACACCCCAGCTTGTCGAATGGGACCTTCAGAGCTCAGCAACAGGCTTTGAGAGCTGGGGTGCTCTAGTAGATACCTGCTCTCCCCTCCCCCTTCTCTGTGTCACCCCCTGCCTCCCGCTTACCAGAAATAACACTCACGGAGCTTCTGGAGAGCATGAGAAGTAAAGACCGCTGCCCATTGTCTTTGAAGAACTGGGTTCAGAGAGGCTGCATGACTTATCCACGGGCATGCAGCAATGGGACTATAGATTCACTGGTCATGATCTTTGTCAGTTCTGACCCTGTCCAGAAAGCACCCATATCCTTTGGGTCCACTCTGCCTTCAAACCCCAAGCACTATTTTTTATGTCCCTTTGGAGAAAGATGCTTTATTTTATTTTCTAACACAGGGTCTCGTGTAGCCCAGGCTGGTCTCAAATTGCCTTTGTAACTAAGACAATCCTCCTGCCTCCACCTCCTCCGTGCTGGGATTATAAGCATGCTCCACCATGCTCAGTGTGTACTGTGCTAGAACCAAACCTCAGGCCTCAGCATGCGAGGCCAGCCCTCCACCAACTGAGCTATGTCCTCAGCTCCCGAGGGCAGGTGTCAATGCAGTGCCAGAAAATGTGCACTTACTGTGCAAAGCCCGCTTGCCATGTCTCCCTCTAAGCTGGGGTGGGGGTGGGGGCATGAGGTTAAACTAGAGGCCCAGCAGCTCCCAGCTCAGTGCTTACTGCGCACCCAAGCTAGGAGAGTAGTGTGCAGCCGAAGCCACTCCCGTGTGTCACCGCACAAACCCAGAACAACTCGAACAGCCACCCTCACAGAGCCAACTGTCTGCTGATTTCGGGGGGGGGGGGGGGGGGGGGGGGGGGGGGGAAGGCGGCTCCGAGGGCAGTGCGGAGAGTGTGTCTCCGCGTTGCTGGAGGTTTCTAGCAGAAGCTAGGCAGGGGGCTCTGGTCTGCCTGAGCCCCGCCACTCACAGGCGTGCTGGACGATACTGCAGTGAGGGAGGGAGTCACGCAGAGCAGATGTGGGCGACGAGGGGACACAAGGGCGAGCGACTTCGGGAGGGAGGAGAAGACTGACTCAGAGAGAACACTGTGTGAGAAAGCGTGTGCCCCGGCGGGCTGTCCCGCCACTGCCGGTGCAGCCCTGCACACACCCACCCTGCAACAGCAGCAGACGTTAGGAACCCATCCCAAAGCCGGATGCTGCCTCAGAATCTGCCTTCCAGAGGGAACCAACGAAGCTGTCCTCTGACCTCCACACCTGTGCTGTGCCACAAACAAGCCTTCCTCCAAACCCCTGGCATCATACGCAATAAAATAAATAAAAATTAAATTGTAAAAGAAATTTGAAAAGAACCGATTCTATGGCTAAGTCTGGCGGTGCAGGCCTACAACCTCAGCTACTTGGAAGGCTGGGATGGAAGGATGGCAAGTTCAAGGCCTGAATGGGCTGTAGACTGAGTTCAAAGCCAGCCTAGGAAACTTACCAAGAACCTATCTCAAAGCAAAAAATACTGGAAAGGTCTGGGAACACATAGCTATGTGGTTTAAAAAAAAGTACTATATACGAGGCCTTGGGTTCAATCCTCAGTACTGAAAACAAAGCAAAAAAAACAAGCAAGCAAACAAACAAATAAAAAACCACCACCATGCACAGAGATCCTGGAACCTAAGAGCCCAGGAACCACAGGTCTTAAGCTGGGGCCTGTTTGAGACCTATTTCATGGACCGTTCTCTGGCCTGGAGGTATCTAGCCTCAACCTCATGCTTTCAAGCTGAACATGCCTATCCAGGCCAGCTCTCTGATTCCACAGTCCTCACTCATCTTCCCTTACTGTCCGAAGCTCTATTTTTGTTCTATTCTTATCCATCTACACACCTGCTTCCTGTCCCTAAGGTTCTGGCCTGAGAATCCAGTCCAAAGAGGCCTGGCCTCCTGCCGGTCTAGCTGTGGGTTGAACTATCCGTGTGGGCAGCCAGCACTGCCCCCCAGGGAGTCCTGGAAGGTGACTTCTCACCTGTGCTCTGTGCCATCAATCCAACCTTGAACCTTCGAGGAAATCCCCGGCTAGGTGACCTGGCCTTTAGTGTTATGGCAGTCTGGAGTTATAGCACACCTGGCTCAAAGGTTTAGTATCTGACCCCCTCTGCTGGAAATAAAGTTCAGGTCAGCAGAAGCCTGATCCAACTTACCCCTCCCCAGGGCCCCGTAGCAGGGTGTGGAGCATGTGGACCTTTGTAGCTGTCAGTTGGATGGAGAAGTAAACAAGCTTTTTTTTTTTCAGCCCACACTTTGGTGCACAGGCACAGAGCCTCACTGCATGGAGGTTGATCCTGGGGACCTCAACCTCAGGCCCTTCGGCAGCCGCAGGCTCTGATGGCCAAGCCCTGCTGTAATCAGCTGTCTTCTCCCGTTGTTCTCACCGGTCCTTTGTTCCCAGAGAATCTGACCATGGACCTAGAGGATGGAGATGAAAAGAGTTGGAAAGCAGGGGTAGACAGGCCTTGCCAGCCATGTGACAGGGACAGATGAAGAAGAGCCCCGATTTTGTTACTCACCCATGTGGAGAAAACAACTGACAAAAACTGAGAAAAACTACTCAAAAATTTTAATTACTCTACTTAAAAAACACTGTTTATTTTTATATTATGAGTGTTTTGTTTGTTTTGTTTACCTGCATGTATGTCTATATACCATATGTGTGTACAGTATAGGCAAAAAGAAGGCATCAGAGCCTCTGGAACTAGTTACTGATGGCTACTTGGAAGAAGAAGAGGAGCTTGAAATGGAACTTTGGTCCTCTGTGAGAGCAGCACAACCCTTAACTGCTGAACTACCTCTCCAGCTTCCCCAGGAAATTTTTTTTTTTACTTTATTCTTAATTAAGAGAGAGAGTATGTGCACATAATTACAGCTGCTCCTAGAGTCCAGAAGAGAGCGCTGAATTCCCTGCAGCTGGAATCGCAGCAGTTGTGAGCTGCCCAGTGTGAGAGCTGGGAACCAAATCCTGGTCCTCTGCAAGAGCAGTAAGCACTCATATTACCAGCTTTAAAGGACAACTAGAAAGGCTGGAGAGATGGCTCAGCAGTTAAGAGCGCTATCTGCTCTTCCAGAGGTCCTGAGTTCAATTCCCAGCAGCCACATGATGGTTCCCAACCATCCATATCGAGATCTGGTGCCCTCTTCCTTCTGGCGTGCAGGTGTACACGCAGGTAGAACATTCATATAATACAAAAAAAATAAATCTTAAGAAAAAAAAAAAAGAACAATGAAGAAGTGCTGATTGTCAAGCAGAGAGCATGCACCTACAGTCCCTGCATCTGAGAGGTAGAGACTGGAGGATCAGGAACTTAGAGTCATCCTCAGATACATAGAGTCTGAGGCCAACCTGGGCTCCAAGAGACATTGTGTTGAAAGATTTAAGAAGAGCGATGATGGCCTTAAAGAAGATCAGAGTAAAGCAAGGATGATATCGTTCAGATGTACCTGTAGTTTTTGCGCATGTCATAGACGAGACTCTCCTGAGGATGCTAGAATAGACCTTTTTGGGAGGGCGGGTTGAGGCAAAAAACATTAGCCTGCTCCTTCCTGCTGGTGATTTATTGCAGAGGGTTGAGAATTGAAAGACAGGCTATAGGACAATGAGTTTGGATAGGATAAGAATGATGTTACAGGCTCAGGGTGCAGTTCTTCCTCTGGAATATCTAACTTTGCTTCCTCTTCTTCCCTTGTTACTAGTCAGCGATAAGGAGTCCATGTGACTTGCATGTACTGAGGGACTTTGATGTATTTGTGCTTTTAGATTTGACCCAAAGAAGCACCAGTAAGTCTCAAGTGGTGGACCTCAAAAGCCTGGAGATCAAATATGACAATGCTGGAGAGATGTGCAAGAAATATTAGGGAGTTTGGCTAGGCTGAAGTGATTGGGGTATGGAATTAGATTTTTCTGATTTTGAAATTTTTTTCAGAGAAAGGAAAGTGTTGATATGTTATTTTCATTTCAAAAGCAAACCAATACGTACAGAAGATGGGATTAAAGTCGGCCTACTTGGTGCTCCCACTGGCTCACATGTACTGAAGTTGGAGCAATACACAGATTAGCATGGCCCCTGTGCAAGACTGATGTGCAAATCCATGAACTGTTCCATTTTTTTTTTAATGGCCTATTTGGGGGGCAGAAAGATGACTCAAAAGTCAAAGGCACTTACCGCAACACCTGACAGCAAACATTAGGCCTGAGTTTGATCCCAGGACCCACATGGTAAAAGGAGGGAACTGACCCCTGAAAGTTGCCCTCTGACCCTCACAAGCATGACATGACATGCTTGTACACACGCATGTGCACACACACAAATGCAGTTTTAAAACTAAATGTGTATTAGGGGGATTTTAACAATTGTCTGGGAAAACAATCCTAGACCACTCAGGCTCACTCCAAGCTTTTCAAAGACCCCAGAGGAAAACAAACAGAGCTCAGGTCTATATAGGCTGAGAAATGTCGTTCTAACCACCATTCACCATACGTTGCGCTGAAGACCCTCTTTCCTTACCCTTCCCTGGACAGAACTTTTGTCGTGTGACTTTGTAGCGATTCCCACTTACCAGGTGCCATCTGTATGCCCTCCTCTTGAGGTCTTCTCTGCCCAACAAGGTGCCACAGAGATAATTAGGTACTGATTCTGAGTCAAGACCTTCAGGGATCTTCACGTCTGTGTCTGCCCTGCTTCCGGCCCCGCTGAGACCACAAGCTCGGGTCCACCTACAAGATAAGTGGCCATGCCTCACCCTGGCCAGGATAGTTCAGATCAGTCAACCAAGCAACTTGCATACCTGCAAAGGTTCTATCCAAAGTCACCCGCGTCATTGAGTCAAGCTCGGCTCCCCTCCAGGCTCATGAGGCAGACATCTTGTCTGAGGTACACCACTACTGAGGTTGTGTGCTTCTCACACAGCCAAAGCCGATGCAAACACTCTCCAGGCATCTTTTGGGTTAATTTGTCTTAGTCTCTTTCCTCACAGCTGCCCATCATCCACTCATGCCACCTCCACCAACAGGAGCCTTATTACCTCCACAGGAAGCCCATTTCAAAAAACAGTGTTTATATTTTGAGTTTCAAATCTCTGTCTGTGTGCTTCAGCACGGAGAAGGAACTGGACAATTTACCCAACCTATCCAGGTCTATCTTCATATTCACTGAGCCCTTCAAGTTAAAAAAAAAAAAAAAAAAAAAAAAAGAGCTCCAAAGAAAGGCTGTTTTCTCTTTTTGTTTGAACAAGACAAGAACACCTTGGCTCTCTGGGGCCTCCCTCTTTGTCGCCCTCTGCACTGAAAAGCTGCCAAAATGTGAAGACTGGATTTCCTCGGGGTCAGACCTCATTCTCTTCGGGCTGCCTGGCCCGAATCCCTCCAGCACTTGCCTCCCTGCCAACAGTCACACTTCTCTATTCCTTCCTCCACGGCAGCTGTAATACTCCACCACCCAGCCCGTTCAGAGTGTCTCTGGGCACATGCTCTGATCCAGGAACTGTGTTGAGAATAAGGACCTGAGAGGTGCAGTCCCAGCTCTCCGGGAATTCAGCTAGTGAAGGGGTTTTGATGACCACACATCCGTCATTGTACAGACCAGGTGGTTTGTTTACATTATCTGTTTAGCATGTGCGAGGGGGTCAAAGGACGACATCAGAAGTCAGTTATCTCCTTCTGCCATGTGGATTCCAGGCAGGGTTGGAACTCAGATGGTCTGGCTTGGTAGCCAACACCTTTAACTGCTGGGCTACCTCAGCCTAGGTACTATTATATAGTATCTTATAGTATCATATAGTATCTTATATCATGATACTTTCTATCATGCAGTATCTTATATCAAGATGCTTTCTATCATGCACTATGTTATATTAAGGTCCTTTTTATGATGCAGTATCTTAAGTCCTTGCAACAAATATTAGAGTTCTGTTATCCTTTCTTTCTTTCGTGTGTGTGCATGTGTGCATGTTCGAGTATGCGTGCAAGCATGTGTGTGTGTGTGTGTGTGTGTGTGTGTGTGTGTGTGTAAGAGAGATTATGCAGGTCCTCTGTTCTCCACTGAGGCACACCTTTAGTCCTGTATCCATTTTTAAAAGATGAAAAGATTAAGGTTCCAAAAATTCAGGTGACTTACCCAAGCTATAACTTATACACAGCAACATTTGGATGTCAGTCCAAAGCCCAGGGTCTCCCTATGCACCAAACTGCCTTTGACCTCTCCTATTCAAAACTTCTGTGATACTCCCTCCACCCCCACCCCCACCCCCGCCCCCGCTGCCTCCATGGCCAATGGAATAAAAGCCACTCTCTTTACAGTGGCCTCTGGGGCCTCTCCTGTTGTGCTCACACCAAGCCAGCATTCCCTAGTCTCTCCTCCACTCAGAGGCTTGGATTGCGCTCTGATAGAGCCTATCTCACTCCCATTCAGACTTACCTCTTTCCAACTCCCAGCCTGGAGTCTTCTGCTAAGACTCTCCTGTGCTCCCACTGCGCTTTGGCAGACTTCCCGTGGCCCAGGCCAGTCTCTCCCACACCAGACATAGCTGCTTTCCAGCTACATCCTATAAGATATAAGGATGCAGTGCAGAGACACAGATGGAGTTGGTACCCATGACGAATCCCACACAGGGCCAACACTCAGTTGTCAGTGGGGCCAGATGACTCCGACTGTAACGCCGATGAAACAGGGCAGTGGACACAACCCTGGCACCAAAATTGGCTATTTAGATCCATTCAACCAGCCAGATGCTGTGCCACACACCTGTAATCCCAGCACTCGGGGAGGCAGAAGCAGGAGGATCTCTGTGAGTTCTCTGTAGACCAACCAGAGAACTCTGCAAGGTGAGTCCAGGGCAGCCAAGACTACACAGAGAAACTTTGTCTCAGAAACAACAACTTACAGATGATTCACCCAAACAGAGAGAGTTTCTGGGCAGCCCAGGTTGACCTCAGACCTTGAACTTCTGATCCTGCGCCTGCCTCCTGGGTTCTGGGGTTACAAGAGTGCACTACCAAGTCCAGCTGCTGCAGTGCTGGGAGAGGTCAAACCCAGGGCCTCGTGCATGTGAGGTGAATATTCAACCAACTCAGCCACATCCCAGCACCACTGAAGCCACATTTCTGGAAGGCTTCTATTCAGTCAGGATCCCTGTTACAAACAACAGTAACAATTCAGCCTCACCCCAGTGGAAACTCTGAAGGAGTGCGCAGTCTCTGTGAGAGGGATTAAAGTGAGTCCTTGACAGCTGGGGCTCTGGCTGAGCTGACCCTGGAGGCAGAGAATCCTTGCAGAATGCCACCACAGATGCCCATTCGTGCCTGTGGGCACGGCTCCTCTAAATGACCGCTCTGCTATGCCTGGATGTCTGGGTGGATCTACCTCTATGGGTTCAAAGTTCTAACCTAGGCCACATGTCCTTGAGTAATAATACAAGAGGAGGAAGTACCTACCCTGCTTCCACTGACCTCTGAAGGAACGAAAGACAGTTCTTCTCCACCTCTCCCCCCAAGACTGGAAGGAAATCCCATGGAAATGAAGAAGGAGCTGGGCTACTGGACAGCCAATATTGCATGGCCAAGATCAACAGCCACTCACATTTTGGAGGTGAGGAGATGAGGAAGAACCTTAGCTAGAGAACACCTGTTAGAATATTTCCCAAGATGGAATGGAATGGTAGGCAGCCAGAGGGGTTCAGGGGTCAAAGGAGTCATTTGGGAAACACCGACTTAATGCCTTCAAGACCTGTCAGAGCCTCTGATGTGCAATGTGCACTGTGACCACCCAGGGGCTGGCGACATCCTCGGCTCTCCTGGTCACGCAACCCTTTTCTTGAAGAGTGCTCTGCAGGACTAAGCCCAAGAAACCTAGCCTTCATTATCAAACAGGGAAAGTGAGGGGCTTTCCTGCCCTTACGGCCTGTGACAGGCAACCCAGGCCTCAGGGAAAGGACCAGTTCCCAGCAGGAGCCAGTGAGGTGGAGGTCAGGACCTGGACCAAGGGACCAATCAGACCCTCCCCAGCCTGGCGCCGCATCTCTAGTCTCCCTGCTGACATAAGCAGCCTCCAGGTGCTGAACAATGCACACTCTCTGTGCCTGAGCTGTGTCTCACTTCCACCCTCAGGGAAACCCCTACCAGGACAGAGGGACAATATCATGAGAAACACTGGGAAACTGGACCAGCTCTCCAGCTGCCCCAAGGGCCAGAAGGAAGGGGCAGGATCCCAGCAGTTGGCAGGTGCTCGGTCCCCAGCATGGAGTGGGGTGCAGGCGCGTACTGTTAGCTCTTCCACACATCTGTGTGACCTTGAGGAAAGCTCCATTCTCTCAGCCTTGGCTTCTTCAGCTGGAAAAAAAAAAAAAAGAAAGCTGTATCCTATCCGTTGACTCGTTTCAAATAAACATCCAATAGAGCATTGAGCATTCTTTAGATGTAAAATTATTATCATATTGAATATCAAATTTAAAGAAACACCTCTTTTTCTACTTAAGACCCTGAAAGACTTTTCAAGTAGATTACACACACTCATGTACACACATATGCACACACTCATACACACATACACACACTTGCACGCACACACAACTTGCCATCTTGTTCCTTAACCTCTGTAACCTGGCTCTGATGGTCCAGGCTTCATAGCACAGGCATGCCCATCCTTTTACGGTGAATTTCCATTCTTTCTTCACACTCCCAAGAGCTGCCGCCTCTTCAGGGAGGTCCTCCCAGACTCTCCTCTCCCCAGGCTCAGTCAGGTGCCTGCTTTGTACACTTGATTCTAGATCTTTATCACTCAGGCAACTAGGCCAAATTGTCTCTCTCTTGTTTGTCCACTTACGGCTTCCCATAGCCTGTGACTTAGGAGCTGTCATCTGTGGCAGCGCCTGGCAGAAACAAGTTGGTGGGTACACCCTCTCCACACTGAGGGTGGGTGACCTCAGGTTTTGTCTTCTGCCAGCGCTCAAAGCAAATCCCATTGCCCCCAAAGGAAACCCGTTCACGCAGCCTCTGAGCACTGAAGAATTTCGAAGGACAGAGGAGATGCACACCACACAACGAGATTCCAAACCCTTGTGAGGCGTGTTTATCCGCTCTCCCAACAACTAATATCCTTGAACTGAAACACAAGGA